AGCTCAAACGTGACTGACTGCTGCTGAGTGATTTCCCGTATTATTTTAAGTTACAACTTTTGGGGAAACATTAGATGGCATTTTTGTTTTTGTGTATATTGATGGACTTCAGGGACTGTTTTCTTGACAGTCCGAGAATGCAAGTTGTAGTGTCATATGGCAAATAACCTGTCTCCTCTGTTCCGCAGTAATGGTGCGGCAGCTGCAGAGGGATGTCTACAGCGGCTTCTGTGCCTTTTTCTCTGTTATTGAGGTGGGCATGATTGCGTTATTCAGCGCATGCTTCTTTCCTGTGCTCTCTGTATTTGTTTACATCTACCTGGACATCCTGAAGATCGCCTGCAGCCACCAGAAGCAGATCTGCCAAGTTAGGCAAGCCGGTTCCAGGACAGGTGACCACCAGAACAATCAACATCATGAGCATCAGCACCATCAGCAGCTAAGAAGCGGCTACTGGAGTCATGTCAAGGCTCTGAGGACAGTGGCAGTGCTCGTGGGCTGCTTCTTGGTCCTCTGGTGCCCATTCTTTGTAGCATGCATAGTGCACCTTCTGTGTGAAACCTGTGAACTCACCGACGTGTTGGAGAACTATCTTTGGCTCTTGGGTCTATCCAACTCACTGATCAACCCTCTGGTGTACGCCTTCTGGCAAAGGGAGGTGCGGCTGCAATTAGCAGCCATGTTTTCCTGCTTTACAGGCAGCTCGTTGGCTGTTGGACCACCAGGTGTCGCCACAAGAAGTGACCCGCCACCTGTGCTGACTCCAGCTGGTGTCCCTAGTGGAGATACCCTCAACCCTTCACTGTTGCAGTCAGTTATTGAACATGACAAGACTCACATTGTGCCTCTGTCTGCCACAACCAGCTTGTGAAAGAAACTGGGTGGACAGAGTGTACTATCAATGTGATTTTCTAGATAATCTAGACACTGTGGTTGTTATTACAAAGAAAGGTAAACTTACTTTAAGAGCTGTGAAGAGTTACTTGCCTCACCCTTTCTTTCTGAAAAGCTGAAACACATTCCTGTCCAGATTTTAAAAGAAATGAATTTCTACCAGATGGTAAAATATGATGACCCCTTCATTATATCCCAGATAAAACCCTCACAAGGTGAATATCTTTGTTCTGAAATTATAACCATAAATGTAAGAGCTACTTCCGAATGTGAACCGCAATGTTAATTACGTAAGTACTAATTTGACCTTAACGTTTACTTTAAATTGATACAAGAATTAAAGTGTGTTTTAAATCTTCAGCACTGACCTGCGCCCCGTCATCAAGATGTTTTTGGGAAACAGGGCATTGATCAGAATAGAGGTCTGCAAGCCAAAAAAAGTATTAAGTATTACATTCCATATTAAATTTACAATGGCACACTAATTCATACAGACCTGTCCTTGTCTCCCTCCATCACACATGCACCATTCTGCAACCCAATCACTCTGCACCCTACTGCCCGATTTGGCCCAGTTCCATTAGGCCTAAGCCTGATCATGGCCTGACAATTAATAAAGTTTGAAAGTCAAACCTTTCAGAGTAGCTTCAGAATAGCCATCATCATGTGTTCAGTACTAATGTATTTGCAAAATATGTTTGCTGTAAACAAATGACGGATATGTGGGATTCCCATGAGCCTCAGCTGTACTCTGTATTAAGTTCAAATGAGCAAATATTAGTGTGCTAACACATCAGACGATGATGATGAACATGGTTTACCTTATACCTGCTAAATATCAGCGTCATATTTGAGTGTGATAGCATGCTGTCGTTAGCCTTTAGCTTAAGCAGTCTGACAGAGCCGCTAGCATAGCTAGACTTTAAGACATGTGCAAATTTTAACCATCATTTCTAGTTTTTATTTGCCTAGTTATGATAATATTGTACATACCAAACTAAAAAACACATGATGATCAGGTTTTAAACAGAGGTAGCCAGGTAAGCCGAGCTTGTGTGGAAGAAAAAATTTAAACAAGCTATGAAACGAAGATCCAGGTAACCAGAAACCTTCTTTCAGAACACACTAATATAACATGAGATTGCATACAAGTTATCATATGTAAAGTAGAGCTCCACATTCAGGCCAAGTTTACCTAGACTATGGCCTCTCCCTGGTGTTCACTCTGTTGAATGATAGTGGGCAGGAGACTCATAACAGTGATAGCACCATAGTAGCCTATAATTTAGAGAGATTTGTTCCAGACATCCAGGTGAGAGCAGTGGCGTCAGAGGTCAGTGGCAGCAGAGGCAGGAAGAAGTTCTACGTTGCGGTTGCACAGAGTGTGACATTCGTTCCTGATAAGTCCACAAGGGTTCAGGCCTGTCCCACTGTAGAATAAGTAAGTACATGAGGGGCGCTCACTGTCCCTTTGAGTCCTTTATGCACACTAAGATCCCGCAGAGACTTGCAGAGGACACGGCCAAGGGAAAAAACCCACAAGAAAGGGGGCTGTAATGTAAAAAACGGGTGAAAATATAAAGTAAAATTTGTCTGACTTGTGTGTTTATTTGGTAGTAATTAGTACCAGAATTTATCATGTGTCATTAGTGTTCTCCTGGGAGCATGATTTTTTTGTCAGTAAATACAGGCAGTGATGCCTTCCAAAAATGTTTAATTAAAAAACAAATATATTTTACACATGAACAACTTAAATATTTATGAAATATGAACCTCATTTTATTGCTACAGAGCACCTCATACCCTGAACAACATTTCTAATACGTAAAGCATGTGGGGCCTTAAAAAACTTTACAGTCACACATTTACACTAATGCATTTATGTATCTATACCATTCACATTAACATTCAAGTCTCCGATATTTATGACAGCTGTAATATATCCGATTTGGTGCTATAGAAAATACAAGTAGCTGAAAAACAAACAAACATGGATGGGACACGTGTGTGTCAATTCAGGTAATTTAAGTATAGCGCTATGTTGACCATTAAAAGTATTTTTACCCTTGACACGACCAGCTCTTCTGTCATACAGTCAGAGCTCTTCAGTCAGACAGACCGTCTTGAGTTGTCCAATGACGCAAATGAAACGTTGTAAACATGGGAATCTTTACAATTGCTACCATCCCACCTCTTGTTAAGTTAATAAAAGCCTCTTGTTTTTTATTTAATTTGGCAGATAACAATAGTTTTAGGGCATTTGGATAGTTTCCACCAACAAAAAGCAATAAATCGACCCGTCTTCTCATCCAAGTAGCATGATTGAGAGTGACTGAATCAGCTTTACATGCAATAACTACTAACTGATGGCATTCAAAACCCATTGTCATCTCAGTTTATTATAATTTAGTTGAAATCTCTTTTCCCATTCCAATTATTATCTATTATTATTATTTATATCGTAGCTGTGATACATGACTTGTGAAAGCTTACATCTGTTCATATAATGCTTAATTTATCATTATCTAAAAGACTTTGATTTTATTTTAACTTTTATTATCCATTTTTCCTTATTTTAACCATGGTTTTGAGTTTGTCTTATACAATTGGATGGATTCTAGGCTGTAATTGGGCAACTTTTTGTCAATAAGACAACACTGTTCAGGACTTGGGTTATAACTAGTCACTGATGTGTGCCAGCGTCTCACTGAAAGACAGCAGTAATTCGAGATTCAGAAGTTTTAATTGCTGAATTGACAGTTGCCAGGAATTTGTTTTGGTGTGCCCTTCATGAAGTTAGAACTGTCCAGGTTCATCATCCAAAAAAAGAACCTAATATTCTTATTCAGCATTTGAGTTTTTCTCTAAAAATGACTGTATTCTGGCTTCAGATTTGTCTCTTCTGTGCCATGTAACCTGAGGCTGGACGGATCACAGATAACATGTAGCAAAGGTCATAAGACAGACTGGAACCCACAACATTATACATAAATTGTGTGCCTTAGCCCTCAGACCCGCTTTGTTTTATACTGTTTTATTATATCCATGTGATTTAGTAGCTTTAAACTGATGGTCCTAAGATAGCAGACACACCTGGCATTTATCTGAGTGCTCGCTATTGCGAATGTTATATTTTATAGCTGGATAACTATTCAGTCATGGAAACTTCCTCGGCTGCTTGAATCTTGATAAATATCCTCCACTTTACGTGTCAGCAGTCTGTATCAACAAGGCAGTTGCACCATGTGATGTCAGAGATTTCTATGCGGGAGATAGTTAACATTTACTTTAGACTGACAGTCTGTCTACATAAAGCTTAATCGTCTGAGCTGGAAAAAGAGCTAATTTATCTTTGGTTCTTTCGTCATTTGTCATATATGTTATACATCTAGGCTTTCAGCGGTGCCCAGAAGGATCATGCTCGGTCATTTGTGTGTTAACCTCAAAACAGCCTTTGGCAAAATCAGATTTCATTGAACCCTGGTCTTATTCTAATAACATTGTTCATAATTTCTACAGCACCTGAACTGTGAGTAATTGCGTTGTTGTGTGCACACATATTTGCTGTGAAATGTGGGATTATTACCTAGATTTTGGATGCGCACGCATTGTAGTCTTATCCTTGCTAAAATGGCTGATCAACTTGTCGTTTCTTGCACGTAGAAAGCGATTGAACGGTTTTCCCATATCAAAGTAATGACTTTATATAGTCATGCCAATAAAGCCTCTTTAAATTTGATATTGGTGAGTTTAATGTTATGACTTTGTTATAGAATAGCAATAGAAATGATGGTAGTTTTTTAAAATATCATTTGGGTCTTTTTTATTGCCGTTATTAGATAGCAGCTGAAGAGTGACAGGAAGGTGAGAAGAGAGGGGATGACATGCAGCAAAGGACCACTGGTCAGAATCAAACCCATGCTGCTGTAATAAGGTTTTTGTACATGGGTCACACGCTCTACCAGGTGAGCTAACAGGACCCCCTTGACAGCCGTACGTGATGTACAATTTTCTAGGTATTTAGTTGTTAAGTATGGCTAGTTTTCCCGCCTCTGATGGCATATGAGCAGATGTTATAGCAGTAAAAATTAATTGTATGAAACAGATTTAAAACCAAAATGCTAAATATTTATTAACAAACTGCTGACAAATGTGACAAAGAATCAATGAAGGAAAACACGCGATTGTTTCACAATACATTTGGCTTTTTACAAAGACATGCAGACTGTTGGGATGTCAAAACAAATATTTCAAATTGACAGGAATGCTCTCTGAAACTGTTAATGAACTGTTAAATGAAACTAAAAATCCTCCAACTCATCAACTCAGACCTACCAACCCAAACAGTTTAGAAATCGCAACTCTTAAATTACAGCCCGAGGTAGATGCTGAATGTGTGTGTGTGTGTGTGTGTGTGTGTGTGTGTGTGTGTGTGTGTTGTGTGTGTGTGTGTGTGTGTGTGTGTGTGTGTGCGCATGTGCTAGCTGCGCTGCTGATTCTGCATCCTCAGCGGGCTGAAGAACGGGTGCCACAGCGCCTCCTCCAGGGTGAGCCGTCTGTAGACGTCGTACTCCAGCATGCAGCTGAGCAGGTCGAATAGCTGCCTCTCGTCCTCGGTCTTCCTCTGCATGTACAGCTGAGAGACACACAGACACTCACAGTTAGTGACCTTCCACAGCTACCTCCTCTACCTCACGGCTGCAGGTGATTGGCTGATCTGAGTGCTGTGTAGCTACCTTGAGAGGTTTACAGTGTTTCCTTATGTAATCATCAGAGGAGCTCTTCTCGGCCCAGTTCAGACGCTCGTTGTGCACGTAATGCTGCTTTCTACACACAGCACATACACATTAGTGGTTAGTTTCAGATAAGATAGAAACACCATTTTTCAACTCACTTCCTCCCCGCCAGCACTCACATTTCAAGTCACACTTGCAGCTGTGGAGAGTACATTAAGAAACGGCATAAACAGATAACATGTGGCACTCAATCGTTAACAGGAAACAGCCATTACCATGAAGACTGATAGACACAGTGACAGATGTATTGGTTTAATGGCCCCAAACTGGATAATTAGTGCCATCAGCTGTTCATCTTGATCTGCTGATCTCCTAATATTTGTTTAGTAGATGGAAACGATTCAAATTTGCACAACATTTGGATGTAAACTTGTTTTTTGTGTTCAACATAGCATACAGACTTTTCATCTCTGTGCCAGTTTCATTTAAGGTAGTTTGGGCAACAAGTAGAGATGCCTCCTATGAACACTATTGACCCTGGAGACCCTGGAGACCCTGAGGCTGATCCAGATCACCTCTCCTAACTGGCCTTGGAAATCTGGGGGACCGAAAGAGGATGTGGATGGAAATTGATAGTTGAGCTACTCTGCTCACCTTTATGTCACCTCGTCCCTGACCAGGACAAGCAGGTTTGAAAATGGATGGATGGATGAACTGATTCTGAAACTGATTCAAGCCCATAGATGCTAATGTTTAGCTCAACATCATTATTTCAGAGCAAAATACAATGAGAGCCATTACAGTCAACTATACTATACTGTCTGTGAAGTCAAAGAATATACAGAGGGTATACGTGTGTGGTTACCTGGTCTGTTTCAGCAGGTGTGGGGGGATCGGTCCCAGGACTTTCTCCATCATGGCCAGATGTTCTTTGCTGTCGTGGGTCTGAAACAACAGACAAGGCAGGGCAGTTAAACCTACTACTGTTTTTGTGTGTGTGTGTGTGTGTGTGTGTGTGTGTGTGTGTGTGTGTGCGTGTGTTTGTACATACCATGAACAGTGAACGTCCCAGGTAAAACTCCATGAGAACGCAGCCCAGACTCCAAACATCACACGACTGGTTCCAGCCCAGATCTGAGCACACAGTTAAAATGATAAACATGGATTATTTGCCATGCAGGTAAACCAATCCAATTTCTTAGTTGTGTTGTTGTGAGTGAGAGTTGTGTGTATACCCAGTATGACCTCTGGAGCTCGATAGTGACGCGTTGACACCAGGGATTCATGGTGTTCGTGGTCAAATGTGGCGGTGCCAAAATCCACCACCTTCACATCCAGTCTCCTCAGTTTCCTCACCGCACAGTTCTGACACACGCACAAACACACACTGCTAAACATCCTTCACTGCATGGCAAACACTGAAATGACGTATTTGGGTTTGTCTGTTTGTTTGAACTTTTACCGTCTTGTCATTGTACTCCAGGTCGTAGTCGGAACACACAAACAGGATGTTCTCTGGCTTCAGGTCTGTGTGAGTCAGCTTGTTACGATGCAGGACTGTAAAACACACACACAAAAAAAGACATAATTGTGTGCTTGTTAATTTTTTTTTCCTTCTCAAAGATCATCAAGTGAGTCGTACAACACGTGCTGTCAGGAAGGTGCTTTTCATCTGCTTTCAACTGTCTGCCTGAATCCATGTGAATGCAGCATTAATTGTACGTTTGGCTGATGTCACCCAAAAGTCTCAAGTCTTTGGCATACAAGGAAATCAGGGTCAATATCAACCAACAGCTCTACACTTCACAGCTCTGTCATTTGGTGTCTGTTCTCTTGCCCAAATAAACCTCCAGTGAGAACAAGAAGATCCAATTCCAAGATCGCCACCACCAATAATGACGGGGTCAGGAGTCAGAAGTCACAGGGCGTGGTAGAACACTTGACTCACAGCAGACGGCTTTGAAGATCTGGAAGGCCATGTGTCTGATCTCCTCCACGCTGAACGGCAGGAACTCGTTCTGACGGAGGAACTCAAAGGTGCTGAGGCCGAGCAGCTCGAACACAATGCAGATGTGACCTTCGTGCTCGAACCAGTCAAGCATCCTCACACAGGCGCTGGTAGGAGAGAGTCAGTGATCCATAAACATGTGGCGTAGCATTTGGATAACTAAAAAGCTGAAGAATTAAAATGCTATTAATGTTGACAACTTATTTTGCATGCATTAGTTGAACCAAACAAAACCAAAAACCCAGCTAACCTTAGAACAAGAACATGATTCATGAAAGATTGCTTTTAGAGGACAAAGTTGCTGTCAAGGATTAAGTCTGAGGGTCTGTTGCAGCTCTACTCACAATCTGTTGTCATCATCCAGGCGGTTGATCTCCTCCAGCACTGCAATCTCAGACCTGGCTACTTCACGGAAACACTCAATGTTCCTCACAATCTTCACGGCTACGTGCTCCCCTCTGTTGAACACAGTTAGGTGCACACAGGCACACAAAAAAGAGTAACTGCACTAATGCCACAAAAACCCATAGATAAGCAGCATAGCCATCCAACAGTTAGAAGTTCAAGGTTCAATCAGCATGCGTGCTTACTTGTCTCTATCAATACACTCGACCACCTTTCCAAAGGCTCCTGCCCCCAATGTACATAACACTTCATCTGGGAAGGACAGACAGATATAATGGCTTGGGTGAGCAGTGTCTTAAAAAGGCAAATGCAATGGTCAGTGCTACTGGATCAAGAGCCTGAAACTATGCCCCTTTTTTATTTGAATTCAGAATCGCTTTTGAAGCGAGAATCAATTCTCAGTGGAATCATGGCACCAAGATTGGGAATTGAATCAAAATGTGAGGTCGCCAAAGATTCCCACCCCTAACTGAAAGGTCCAGAAAAAGCTGGTTGCAAAAGCTGAACATGTTCAGATATGCTTAATGTGCTTTAAGATTGATTTCTTAAAATGTCACAAATTTAAGACATTACTAATTAAGAGTTTAACAACAATCTATTTTATGTTTGTTTGTTTTTCTTGCAGTTCAACTACAGTCTGTATATACAAGTGAAACACACAGTCTAATGACATACAAAAGGCATACAAACCCAAACTAGATCTGCTCTTACACCACTGGTAATACTCCCAACTTGAGCTACGTGACAGTTTACATGATAACTAATGTACTGTACAAATCTTAAATGTGATGTAGACACTGATGGGTATAAATGCAATGTTGCCTACATCCAGCATTTCTGCACAAACAAAGGACATTATTTATCGTGTTGCTGGTGGTGTGAGCGCACAGTTAGCTTCGTGTTACCCTTTTAGAAAGCTATGACAAGGACAGAAAAGACACTAAAGACAAAAGGTTGGTGTCATGTACATCTTTCTTTCATCACGAGACCGATGTGATAGACCAGGTGGCCCTCTTCATCATCCTCACAGCTCTTTCCCCTGTGACTCCTGTTTACTCCATCATCAGCGTTGACAGCATTGTCACCAAGAAAGGCAGATTCAAGCTGGAGCGCGATGTCATCAGGCTGACACATGTTTTCAAGATATACAGGTCGACAAGACATATTGGAAAGAGAAATAGGTCACTTGTCACAAAAAAGCACTTAATTCCCATGGGGAACACTTTGAATCACACAAAGCATAAGAAACCACCAAAAAGAGCGTGAAAAGCCCAGTCCTGTTTGCAAGTGTCAACAACCAGAAACAGTGATTTCACAGATTGAGTCATATAACAAACAAGGACAGTCTGAGTATATGAGTTTCTAAGGATCTCTAAGGAAATATATCCCTATATTGAAAGCTCTCACAATGGCAAGCAAACAGTTCCACAAAATTTAAGTAATTAAAATGTTTAGTCCCATATTTTTGGTTACTTTAGTTTTATAGCTGGCGTGTCTCCCTGAAATCCAACTCAAGCCAAAAGTGTTATTTGAGTCCATAAAATACTAAACAAAATGCATTTTTTATATATTAAAAGCCAAAATGTTGAATGACCATCCAAGCTCACTGACAGAATCTGGGAGAAAGAGAAGGGCAAACAGGAGGAGGAGAACCATACCAAGTTACAGATATCTGGTGAGTTGCACAGTGTGCCCGGATTGAAGCTTCCCATCTTTTTGTCAGCATGGACGTCTGTTTTGGGGTCATCACCGTCTACCAGCAGAAACAGACAGAAAGGTGATTTCCTGCTGGGTGAGTACATTTAAAGCAGTTACTGTGAAAAGTCTTAACAGAGACAACAAGCACCACTGGCGTCATATGAAGGTGGGTCATGATTCAGATTCAGACACATGCTAGTGAAACCCACACACACACACACACACACACACACACACACACACACACACACACACACACACACACACGAAAACCTCTCAAACATACAAGTAAGAAACATTTAAACGTTCTACATACAACATTCACTGACTCTACATGTTGCACGCGATCAACAGCATCTCAGATCAAACGAATGGGCGCAATAAACTGAGATGGAACTGCTTAAATTGGGAATGACTAGAAAGCTGAGACACATACTTCATGCCACCCCTGCATAAGTCAATGCCACTTGTGTCATAAAAGGCTGGAAATGCTCCTGGGACTCACATGCACTAATATTCACTAACTCACAAACACCATGAAATACACAATTATACTTTTATATATTACTAAATACTTATTTGTTGAGATCTTATCGATTTGAGTTACAGTAAAAATCAAACACATTGTTGCTAATGAAGAGGTAAACAGAAGAATTTTCTTGCAGTAGGCTATAATTGAATAGTGCACTATTTCGAAAACCTCTTTTAACTGACACTCTAAGATGAATAGTAATTGTTAATGCACAGAAGAAGTGGACTATTTCCATTAACTAGAAGAAAAAAACATATTTAATATACAATATATCTTGTTCTAGTGTCATTGAGACTCTCCTACATACAAGACATGACTATGACAACAACACATAATATGGTTACCTCTCCAAGAACCACAGTTGTTGTCATTCCTGCCCATAGTGCTGCTGTACACACTGGGCTCTGTGACCATAATTTGCTCCCTCTGCTCCAGCCTTTGGAGGTGATTACTGGACAGATAAGAAGAAGAAACAAGTCCATGCTAAAGGGTATATCTGCACTGGCAATCCTGTGAAGCTGATAAGTAACACAGTTTTTGGATGCATAAAACATGGACAGACAACTTTGGTAGTGTTTTGTAAAGTTTGGTCTGAAAGTGGCATGGTGTCAGAGGAAATGCCATATCAAATAGGTTTATCCTCTGCGGTTGCCAATTTAGGGCATCTAACACACACATAGTCAGACTTCCCTGAAAATTTAACAATCAATAAAAAGTCAAAAGGGGGTTATTGGGATTCATCCTCTTGGAACCAAAATGTCTATAGACTTACCAAATGTCACGGAAAGCCATCCAATAATTAGAGAGATGCTAAATTCTGGATAAAATTGGGCAGCAGGCTCAATGACTGACCTTTACCACTAGCTAACAAGACTAATAATGAATTCCTTGAAAATCTAAACATACAACTCAATTAACATCGTGCTCTTCCATACTGGCACAAGTAAAGTGGTTTGAAACCTAGTTGAGGAGAGCGTTATAACTTACAAGATCTGTTGCTTCACCTGAATGAAGAAATTCCTAAAAGAAAAGGTCAAAAACTCTTCACTGTCTTCCTCTGTTGTTCTGCCACGCTTTGTAAAGGTAGAAAAGTTTAATTTGTAACAAAAGAGAGAGGTACAACTTCACAGCTCTTCTTCAGCCTGCAATTTAAATCCTCCGTCCTCCGCAAGCCTTGATCTACAAGTGCAAAGGCTTCCCAGTCTCCTCAACCCCTGATGCTCTCTTCTCTGTTTTCAAAGCTATACATAGTGTTACATCCCTCCAACCTACAAACCTATTGGTGTCTCTATCTCCAGGGCTTTCCCTGGCCTTTTGGAAAAGGCTTATTTACGACCCCTGAGCCAGAGGGGCAATTTCCAGAAGGGCGAGAAGATAACATGAAACTATAATGGTCTCAGTGGGGAAATTAAGTTTTATAGTATTTGATATAAGTTATGATATAAGTTCAGTAGAACAGGTTGGGTTTTGAGTAAACAATGGAATTATTTTGCTTTATTGAGTTGATTTGATTTATTCATGTGATGTGATGATGAAGTTAGCTACCGTTAAAAATTGCAACTCTTTTACAAAGTAAGAATATTAACAATAACTCTGGGACTACCTAAAGGTTATTTTCTTATTCATCTGGGCTCTGTAGTTTTTAGCAAACAGTAGCAGGGCAGTTTATGTGGGATTGGCTCAAAATAAACTAGTGTGACCATGTTCATGGCCATGAAAGATCATGTCACCCGGTGCAACAGTGTGGCTCACTGTTTTGTGGGTTTTTAATTGTTTCCGGACAACAATGGAGCTTTATGGCAAAGAGGAATGGGCTTTATCAGCATTTGGATGCACGGACAATGCTTCTTAGCAAAATCAAATCAAATTGGTTTCGGTCTGACAATAAGAAACATATTGAATTAAAAGACTTATCGGCTTTTAATTCAAGGAGCTAAATCAGATTGTGCACGGGTGATTGACATCTCGACAACAGCATGTCCACACATGTCTACAAGTTTACAGTTTGTGGTAGCAAATCCAATGAAAACTCTCTGTGTCCCTTCAACAAATAGTTGGCATTCCATTCATAGTAGAAGTTTCTCTCTTGCTCAGAGCTATTTCTTATTCATCTTTTCGTCACCTCCTCCTCCACTCCTTCAGTAGGCCTGTATCAGATGTTAAACGTGCCACCTACGACCTGCAGAAGTAATTATTTGGCAGATTCGAATATTCCCATTTGTCTGCACTTTTTCAAGAAAGAGGATGTGGATCCCCAAAATGTTGTTTTTCAAATGCTTTTCAAATATATACCCATGTTTTTTTTTTACTGTTCTCTAGTGTATACTGAAATATTTAGTTGACTGGTGGCCTATGAGAAGGACCTTTTTATAGCCAACAATGTGAAGGAGGGTTAGTCGTTTCAGAGCAGGGATCCCCTCCTCCCTCTTTCAGAAATGGATCTGCCTCTCCATGCCGCCCAGCTCAGCTGTCTCTCATTCACTGTAAATCAGCACTGAGGACGACTCGCTCTTGCTGACAACCTGCAGGACCGTTGTCACTTACTTAAGAACCTCCAACACTCACCACTCACCAAGCCCTTGCCAGGAGCATAGAGGGTTTCACTCTGCACACAGCTTGATGGAGAAAACGGGTGGAGGGGGGATTTGATGTATCCAGAACGTCCTAGTTTACATGAATACTTTAAAACTAGACTGACATGAAGCTCATCTTTCTAGACACATTGTTAGTGTTGTAACCCCTCAGGGATCAATGTTTGTTACTTTAGTGATTCCCTGACTTTTTCATTTGTGTTTTTGAGTTAAATGTATTAGCATGTAGCCTACTGAAGGGGTTAGTAAGAAATCAGGTACACACGTGCATGTTTCCCTCAGGATGAATTGTAATAACTTTGGTGATCCCTTAACTTTTAATCCAGTGCCATCATCAGGTTAGAATTATAATTTGTATTCTTTGAATTATATTTGACTCATTATTATTGCTATTAAATGGTACAAAAGTTCTGCCAATGCAATGGAGAAAATGCCAGCCAGAGCCATGATTTCATCACTCTCTCACTAGTTGAGTTTTTGCAATAATAATAACAAAACTCTACAATATAGGCTTAACTCCAAATTTTTAGTTGATCCAAACATTCAAAATGAATTAATTTTAACTGCTTTATCCAACTAAACATCAAATTTGACCTCTTGTGTCTCTTTTCTGGTTGATCAAAGATTTATAGCTTTCATACTTAAGCTTTTATAGCTTTTATACTTTCCCTTCCTCTTCTACCTTTCCCTGTATCCATTGCATTAAGATGTTGCGATACATGGTTGTCTTGATCTGCGGTATGTAAGCCATGCTACTAGAGATCTTTCAGCAGGATCATTCTACTTATGTTTTCTTTTAATTATTGTTGTCTATCTTTTAATTGTTTTCCAGTAGGAAAACACCAACACTTGTTTGAACAAATAAGCAATTCTAAATTTTACTGAGGACAGCCGTTTTGTGTTGGATAAACATACTCACTGTCTAAAATCACTGTCCTCAGGCCCTGCTGATTCTTGAAGCTACGGCTCATTTGCTTTCTAACGGGATATGATCTAACTCAATGCAGATGGTTGAGATTGGTGACTTGTAGCTTTAATTGAAGGGGGTTATTCGGCCCTATCAGTTTTACTTTAACAGTTCATCTGATATGGCTCAAAATATACTTAGATGAAATCTATCTCTGAAAACTGACCCACTGCCCACACAGCTCTAACAATGAATACTATGCCTACTAACCACACTGCATACTCTTGAGTGCAGCACTAATTCACAGAGCATACTAAAGATACTGAAACATGGACACAGATTTAGTCTTTTTTGAATGCTTAGTAAAGCATCAATTAAATGTCTTAAGACCATGGCCAAGGACAATACGCCTCTCTGATCATCTGGCAGGTGTTTGTTAACACTCACTGGTGAAACAGACCATGTCATGTTCCTTATATAATTTATTCATAAAATAATTTAAAATTAAACTTTTGAAAATAAGACTTGTACACAGCTTCTCTTTTTGTTAAGTGGCCATGGTTTAAGCACTCTCTTGCATTTCCCTGTTGTCCTGGCTTACGTGTATCAGCGTGTATAGGCACTGCCCACCCAGACAATGCTTTTAATTAACTTGGTGGATGTACAGCGTTGAAGTTAATAAAAGCTGTGCCAACAAGGTATGCTCTTCTTTTTGTCTCTTGGTGTTATTGATGATTGAAGTCTGAAGTTGATTTATTTAAGGAGGAACAATGCACATTTATTGACATGAGCACTTCAGTCCATCAAGATTTAGCCATATAGACGTATTTTCATGTGCAGGTTCTCCTTGGCAGGTTGATGGCATATAAGAAAACATACAAAAGCACACAGACAAATTGAACAGCGACGTAAATATGTAAGTGCACACAAAATCACATAAGCACAGAGCATGTAAGGGGTAGATTTGATTAGTTTGGGTTTCACTTAAGTGAAACAAATCAATTACTGTCAACTTAACTTTAAAAATCTTTCAAAACCCCAGATTGGTCCAATCTTTATTGATGCAATGTCACCCAGAGAGATTCCTGCTCTTACTGGACTTTAGATACATTGTTGTTTTATGTGAAAGTGATTTTTCTGCTTACCTATGTTTGTTATTGAAGCTGTGATGTCTTCTGCTCACTGCTGTTTGGTCTCCTGTCGATGTGTTTGGGTAACTTACCTCCCAGGGGTATCAACACTTGTTGCCACGCCACATAGTTGCCAAACAAGGAGGGACAGAAATGGCGTCCCTGGTGCAATAAAACCTTATGTCCCGCAGAAAACCAAGACGTGAACATTCCTGCGTACTTCTAGGCAGTAAAATCTTCAGCCAGCTGCAGTGAAAAGGGACACGGGGAGCTGCTCCAGCCTCGACCCCTGGCCTGACCCTGCAAGGGCTCTTCTTTCATTCCACAGGAGAAAACATAGTGTACTGTTTCTGATCTGGAACCGTTCATGCAGTATGATGCAGCAGATTGTGTGATGTACTCCATGAATGACACGGGACACAAAATACACATTCAATCACGCATTTCATTCTAGATTGTTGGACATATACATGTAAACACACAGCGCCATCACGGTTCTTACAAGACACCTGTTGGTCCATACACATTGTTATGTTGTTTTGTTTCAGAGGCACTAAAATTGGTTATAACTGGAGCAATATTTTTTCGACATACGGTAACGATGTAATTTTGGACAATGTACTTGTATTTTTAAGCTCTGCAGAGTTTGGGGGAAATCACTGTGAGATTTTTTTTGACAGAGCAGCTCGAGAGTGATAGGAAAGTGGGGAGAGAGAGGGGATGACATGCAGCAAAGGGCCACAGGTTGGGGTTCAACCTGGGCCGCTGCTGTAAGGACTTAGCCGTAGGGGGCACAAGCTCAACCAGGTGAGCAACCAGAGAGTTACAGAACTTTATGCCATAAAATATTCCCTATAGCTGAGGCTACACGGACATCTGTAGAATGAATTCATGGTTGTTTTTTGTCTCTTTATGGAAATTGTTTAGAGTGATTAAAACATAAAGCATAATTTAAAGTGGCTATAATCAGTATTTTTATAATGCCAATGTGACAACAACGTGAGATTACCTGCTCAGCACTAAATGACACACAGACAAATTAGCAACTAGCTGGTGAACACAATGTAGCATTTATCAGCTTAAATGCCAGATATTTCCCTCATGAGTTGGTAGAGACCAAAAACAGAGCTAAAAGGAATAGTGGAGGGAGGGAATAATGGACTTAAATTCACCAGGTGGCCACAAACACACTCCGAAGAAATTAATTAATAACAGCAACTGTTCACCATAGGTGATAATATGTAAATTTTGTTTCTACTGCCCTCAAATGGGCAAAAAATATGTTATTGTAGGTTTAAAGTTTTAAAGTTAAACTTGCATTGCCAAACCAGTTCACAAATACGCAAATTAGTCAGGAACAGTTAATTTTTGATTTCCAAGAAGCTTAATCAACAGGTGCAGACCAAAATGCCTCTGGATGCAGTTGGATGACCAATCAGAGCAACCAAACGTGTGGTAAATTAAACTTTCCAAATTCAGTCAGAAGTACAGCAAATACATATTTCTTATCAAGAAAACCTTGAAGTGCAGTTCTTTGTTCTTCTTCTAGAAAAAATATACCAAAGACATTAATTTAATACTGAAATGATAGCGGATCTGAGAGAAACATCAACTGCACCCATCTTGGTTCTTTACAAAAACTCGTCAGAAGCCAATAAAGTAGCACTCCTCTGTACAGTCATCGTACCTTTTTTGTTTGACCTTTCTCATTTGGACCACAGAGAAATAAACAGACTTGTAACTAGTATCACTCTGCTGATATAAAGCCAGTGAGCAACCAAAGGAAGCTGTACGGAAACTAAACAAGGTCAGCTGACCAGCCAGTAACTTTCCCTTAAAATGCAGGAGCCAACATTTAAAGGTCATGTTTTTACTATTAAACATCCAAACAAATTATCTTTAGCTTTACAACCTGCAAAAGAGCTAAATCTGACAGCAAAACTAAAATTAACACCAAAACACCATTGCTATGGACATGGCAGACAGACAGACAGCCAGGCGCCTCATAGATCCCCACACATAATATTTTGTGGTGTTCTCCATCAGCTGCCAAGTTCCTGCAGTGACATTATCGATGGGTATGGCCAGAAGTGCATAAGTGTCTTTCCTCATTTGAATTAAGTGTAGATAAATATAGATAAATAGAGTGAACTGTAAATTTAACACATTGTGTATTTTGAACATTTCAGTGAGTAATAGGTTTACTAGTTAGGTTTATAGATTAAATCCAGTCTTGTTTTACTGTTTGACTTACTGGACTAAAATCGGTACAATCAGGGCTTTTTGTCAGTAAATAATTTCTAAAAATTAATATCTTAAAAGGCCATAAATTGCAAGTAATTTTCTGCAAAGTAAGCCATTCGGAAAGCAACGAATGGGAAGCTAAACTGTAGCATTTTTAAGCTGTATTAAGTTGTCTCATTACTGTACGTTCCCTGCATTAGGAAGGTTGACAGCCAGGGTAATTTGAACATGTTTAATGAAATATATGCTTGCTATGTGTACTGCTGATAGGAAACTGGTAACTTCAATTACGTAAAGATCTTGTTTAAGAGCCAAATGTTTGAATGCAGCTTGGTGCGAGGACGTGAAAGGTGACAGAAGGAATTTTTACTGTGGCTTTGACGCACATCAACCACCGCCAGGAGCTTGTATTTCTTCCCTAAGCATAAAAAAATAAAAATATCCTCACCTTTTACAACTGGCATAGTTCAAATTCTGAAACTAGATGCTTACTCCATCAAAAGCACAGGTGCTCGTTTCCTCTGAAAAAATATTTATTTACTTTATGTATTATTTTATGCCATTAGCGTCTGGCCTTTTTCAGATTTAATCCTCATTCTTACAATTTCATCATATTTTGGTATTTTGTCTTAGAATCCTTTCATTTATTTTTATATTTTTCTAAATTATATTTAAGTCCTCAGTAGACCATTTACTGTATGTGGTAAATATACCTGTGTTAATGTGTACAATATTAAAGTATTCATATACTTCTGTATTCTGAGTAATGCTTCCCATTGTTTTTTACTGGACCAACCCATTGGACAAGTGATTCAAACCGTAGTTATGTGTGTAACCGCGTGGGGGTACTGCTGTTGGAATTGGCGTTTTCTCCAGAAGATGCAGACAGTGAGGTCAATATTCTTGACAGAGACAGCAGCAGACTGCTCCTGGTTAGCAATATTTCCATGCATGTGATTCATTACAGACATGCAGTCAAAGTGAAGAGGAAAGGAGGTGACAGATTTCATTTAGTGGAGAGCACACGCGGACATTCACACACAGCACTTTGTAATGAAGAGCATGCCGTCCAGTTGTATCGACAGACAGACGTGAAAGCTCTCAGCTGTGATTAGAATTCAGTCTATCAGACCCCCAGACATACAGTATAGCATTAATATATAGTACACTGTAAAACCAGGTAAGTTCATTTAACTTAAAACATTGTTGAAACTGATTACATCAAAATCTTTAAGTAACACAAACTACATTTTTTTAGGTTACAAAATATTCTTCATTAAGCTGCTTTTAAAAGTAATTTTAAGTGACACTAACTTAATTATGTAAGTTACAGAAACATTCCTGAATGATAACTTCTTACTAGTATTTTGTTTTCACAGTACAAATACAATTCAGTCAGTGTCACTTAAAATGACTAAAGCTACTTGATCAATAATTGTTTTTTAACTTATGACTTAGTTTTACTTGATGCAATCAGTTTCAACTTTGTTTTAGTCACACTAAAAATGAGGATGCAGTAGTATTGTAGTTTATTCAACAAACACCTTGCAAGTAGTTGGGGTTGATTGTTGGGCAATTGCATCTTGTCATCATCTATCATCCATCCTCTATCACAGTTCTGCTCCAGGTCTGAGCAACAGAACATGCTCTAAATTGTTCACATAACTTTAATGTGCAATTGTTCATAATATAGAATTTACAACTCAAATGGTTAATATCTTAAGTCATACTGTGCTGTAAATGAAACTGTACTTGCTTAGGGATCACTTTGTTGCAGTGCTAGGAGTCTCGCTTGTCTGCACACAAAGTAGAAGAGGTTGAAGAAGAAAGTACACGTGTAGAGTACAAAGTGGTCCCTAGTCTTCCACACAAGTATCAATAAAACTGTAGGAAGGTTCCAAAACAGCAATATACAATTATTTAAAACTACAGTACTGAAGTCCACATGTATTTCTCACAAACTAAGCAGAAAATGATGGTGACCAGCACATAGCTCTGACCTCAACCCCATCTGACACCTTATCAGCCAACATCAGTGCTGAACCTCATGTTGTTGTGGCTGTATGGGAGCAGATCCCTGCAACCACGTTCCAAATATAACATGTTCAATGAGTACATGGCTGTAATGTTCATATGTACGCATACCTTTGGTGATACAGTTATATCTGGAGTATATTTTAGGCTGTAGGCAGAACAGCTGTTAATATTTGATATTTGCTTATATTGATTCCTAACAAAGCTTTAGCAGTATACTGTATATTGTGTTGTACAGGCCAATGAGGCTTATTGAATTGGACTGGAGAGAGAGAGAGAGAGAGAGAGAGAGAGAGAGAGAGAGAGAGAGAGAGAGAGAGAGAGAGAGAGAGAGAGAGAGAGAGCTTCCTCATACTTTAATTGAGTTCAAAAGTTGACTGGGCCGACCAGCCTCTCTCGCTTTTATGTCCACTTGAATCATGGTGGAAGTGTGTGTGTGTGTGTGTGTGTGTCTGTGTGTGTATGCTGCAGCAGACCATACTTCAGCAGCAGCAGAATTTGAGCCAGATCATCTCTCTCTCTTTCTCTTTCTCTTTCTCTATGTCTCTCCGTCTCTCTCTCTCTCTCTCTCACCATCAGCTGTGATTACTTTGGTAAAACAGCGCTGCGTCGCAGAGAACCAATTTTCCTAATGCACAGCCTTCACACACACACACACACACACACACACACATACACAGAGCATGGTTATTGATGAGGCAAATGGGGAGGGGGGCAACAAGGGGGCACACACACTGCTGGGAAATGGAGAGAGAGAGAGAGAGAGAGAGAGAGAGAGAGAGAGAGAGAGAGAGAGGATAGTGGGAACAAGAGAGAAGGACGTGCTGGACAGGGACAAAGAGAGAGACAAGAGGAGAGACAGAAAGGAAATAGGGACGGAGAGAAGGAGGAGAAAGAAGAAGAGGGACGGGGATGATGAAGACGTGGACATTCAGATATGTAGGCTGTGTTCAGGGAATGGAGCAGGGCGTCCACTTAAAGGGCTAATAAAGCAGAGGACAGAGTGGGAGACAAGGAAGGAGGAAGGATGCTGAAGGGAATACTGAGATCGTCTCTTTCCTCATAGACATTGGAGTAGTTTGACTCCGTGGCCGGTGGAAGAAAAAAGAAAAAAAGGGTAAACCCTTCCTTCAGGACAGTTTTACTTTTTGTCAGCCACTGAGAGAAAATGTAATATAAAAAGAGAGAAAGCGACGTAATGATGCCGATCCTGTATACAGTGAGACAGTCATCATGAAATGCTCCAAAGATAGGAAGAAAAATCTGACATCTCACTCCTGGTGCTTTAGTGGACTGGAGGCAGTTTGATTTCATGGGTGTGAAAGGGTGCATTCTCCACAAAGTCTGGAAATGGACAAATGCAGCCTAAATGATTTGAAATCCTTTGTGGTGAAGACTGATGCTTAAGAGATGTTTCTACCAAGAAGACTCATCCTACCCATGCAATCAGAAGAAGCTTCTACAACGAGCAACATTTCAAACTAACTGAATTATTGAGAAACCAGTTTGTGTTTTCAGGGGCTCTGGAGAGATGGCTCTTGCAAGGAGGAGGCTGGAAATACTCAATTTGTGGAAAGAAACTGTCTGTGCATCCAAGGCCAATGGAGATTTCCGAGGACAGCAGGAAAATATATTCTAAGAATCATACGAGAAGAGTAGTAGCTTGATGAGGTTGGGCAAGGTTGCAGCATCGTGGGACTTCTCTCTCTCTCTGTGACTCCAAATCCATCAGGAACTCTTAAAAGCTGATCAACCAAGATATCCCTTTAAGGCTTACCTATCTAATACCCCTCCCTTTGTTTAAAAACTCTCTGTACGGCACCACATCCACAAAAACCTCTCTTTAAGACATATAATCAAGGAGGAGCCATTTTTTAATCATAGGAAAGGCTCTGTATCGACCATGATCCTTTCTTGAAGCCTTTAGCCATCGAGACTAACTTGAGGTTAGCATCAACACCAGGAAAGAACTTCTTTTAAAGCTTAATAACTAAATCAGTTGGGTCCTATATTCTCCAAGCAAAAGTCTCCACCTAAATTTAAATGTCTTAAATGTCTATTTGAAATCCCTTTTTAAGGCTTAATTTCCTACAAGATACTGTATTTACCCAGAACCCCACTTTAAGGTTCAAATATTCACTCTCCTTTCCCTCTTTTAAAGGGTTTTAAAAATCCACCTTTCTATGAGAACGATTATTCAACTGGAATCTCTTATTAAGGCACTATATTCATAAAGAACCTTTCTTTTAAGTTCTTATAAGACACTATTCACCAGAAACTTAACTTTAAACATCTACCAAGGAACTATGAATCTATCCACTACTTGAGTAACTCTTTAAGGCCATACGTCTGCCATAAATCAACCGAGAGCTTGTCTAAGTTCTACTGGCTCAAACTGGGACTCTGGGACCTAAAAGTGTGAGAAAAAAACAGTGATGCAGTTTTCATGCACCACTGCTGTCTCACCTTCTAAACTTTCCCAATTCTCTAAAAAATATTCACATCGCCGTGTGTAATTTGCACTGCATCTACAACTGTTACCATAGCAACCGGAGCAGGAGCACTGCAGCATGGGACTCAGCTGCTTCAAGTCCTGGAAACATGAAAGTACAGGCCACAAAGGTGAGACACGCGCGCACACACGCACACGCACACGCACACGCACACACACACACACACACACACACACACACACACACACACACCATCAACACATTATCTTTTAATCCCTCCAGAACTCTAGCTGTGTGTGTTTGTGTTTGTGTTGTGTGTGTGTGTGTGTGTGTGTGTGTGTGTGTTGCCCTTAAGTGACATCTGTTAAATGCTGACTCAGGATCTTTATGCTTCTATCTAAGGTGACATTGTGTGTGTACGTATGTGCCTCATACATGTATGTGTCTATGTGTGTTTGATGTGACTTTGAGGAGGACAGACAGTGGAGCATGATGGGATATGGGGGAGAAGAGAGGAAAGTGTGTTAACGAGTCTATGCACCATCTCGAGCACAGTGGGGGTTAATACATATTTGACGTGGTGCTGGGTGTCCCCATGTCAAATTTTAGTTTTTAGTTTTAGTCGTGGTGTCACTTTATTAAGCTCTATTCAGACAAGATTAATATTCCAAGGGAAGCTAGATAACAAAATATGACACTGTCCTCACATTTTAGCATTTGTTAATACAACATGTTGTCTCTGGTATATCAGAAAATGGTGATATGATTCATTTTTGTAATGGTCAAATATGTTAAAAAGAACATGCATTATGTCTGTAAAACATCAAAAACACACTGCAACAATGGCTTTGAAGCATTGTGTCATTGTATTGGTCAGCAGACTTACTATATATATTTATTTATAAGAACCTAAGACCTGACTTAGGCAAGCCCCCTAAAAATACATGTTTGTGCATTATGTGCAGGTAACAGAGACGTGTTGGCCAGCCCAGGCTCGTATTTCTTCCTATCTAACAGCGCCGGTCAGGGTGACGAGTGGCTGAAGAGCCTCAACAAGGGAGTCTGGATTCCTTTCACAGGTATACACACACAGTGAATACACACACAAACCCACACGCTCTAGATGCTTTCTCGTATGTCCTGCTGGTGTTTCCTTCCCTGAATTCACATAATTCACACAAGCAACCATGCTAATGTTGCAGCAGACAGCTGTTGTTGAAGTATGGTATATGGTGATATGTCATGTGCCTTCTACAGGCAAAAAATAAATAAATAAATAAATTTAATTCTATGTAAAAGGTTTTACCAGACCATTCATCTTGTTTGTGATTGGAAGAGGTGGACCCTGGGCTCCAGAGAGAATCATTACAATCTTCCTCCATTGCAGGGGTCTTTGGTCAGCGTCTGGAGGAGACGGTGCTGTATGAGCGACGTTATGGAGTGCGTTTGGTTCCTCTGGTGGTGGAGCAGTGTGTGACCTTCATCCGGGAGCGTGGCCTGCATGAAGTGGGGTTGTTTCGCCAGTCAGGACAGGCCAGTCTAGTCAAAGAGCTGCAGGAGGCTTTTGATGCAGGGGAGAGACCGTCCTTTGACAGGTACAATACCTCTGCTTTTTGCTTGTACTGTTTCTTGATCACGTGTTCTTCAAAGGGTTTTCGGAGTAAGTCAGCTTGCTGTGTGTTTTGCCTGCAGCAGCACAGACGTCCATACGGTGGCGTCATTGCTGAAGCTCTACCTCAGGCAACTGCCGGAGCCTCTGGTTCCTTACAGCCGCTACCAGGATTTCCTGCTCTGTGGTCAGAAGCTGTCGAGTGACCGAGCGCTGGTAACTGCAGCTCTGTACACTACACTGTCAAACACGGCATTAGTTAAAGAGCAACTTAACACACCCTGAAAGTTTTGTCTTTGCTGACCTTCAGTGGTTTAACTCACCTTGCTGCAGTGATGTACAGGTGTACTAAAGGACCCAGTGACATCACTGTTGGGTGTATTTACAGGTGCAGCAGAACACCCTTCTTACTAAACCCCACCACACTTATCAGTGTTGCTACGAGTGGTCAGAGGTAAAATAGACTGAAAGTTTCAGAAGGACACTGTTTTCAGACTGATGTTGAAGTGACCCTTTAAAGGCACAAACATAGTTTTCTTTACTTTTAGAATTTCTTACAGTTTGTCAGTTAGCCTTCACAAAAAAAACTTTTGCACAGCTATTCTTTAAAACCTGCATTTTTTGTTTTTTATTTTCTATGACAAACATTCATCAAAAGATTTCTGTTTGATACCTTAAGTGGTCAAAATACAGGGTACCTTTAAATTGTATATTTTAAGCATTGCATAATGTAGCGTGTTCACTTTTACTCCCCTGCAGTAAATTAACAACATTTAGCATGTTGGAACCAATGCGGGGAGAAAAAAAACATCCCTTCTTACCTTGTGTTTTTTTTATCTCTCCCTTCCTGACTCCCATCCTCTCTCTTCTTCCTTTATCAGGGTATGGGGGAGTTGAGGAATCTTCTTCGTGAGTTGCCAGTTGCAAACTTCAATCTACTCAACTTTATCTGCCAGTAAGACCCCTGCTACCTTGTTATTTATAATGGCAGTCTCTGGCCAGCTTTTCATTCAAGTATTTATCTTGTCTGTGCAGGTTTCTAAATGAGGTCCAGAGTTACTCCAACAGTAACAAGATGAGCAGCCAGAACTTGGCCACTGTGTTTGGGCCAAACATCCTCCGAGCCAAAGCTGAAGACCCACAAAGCATCATGGGAGGTAAACATACAAGCTGCACAGCAGATGAGATGAGATGAGATGTAAAACACAAGCAGTGTAATTAATGTTTGGAAAATACTGAACCTATGATGGCAAATGGAAAGAAGACTATGCTGCAGTGTTTTTGCAGATAAAATTATTATTAAAACTGGGTCTCCATTTTAACCAATGTGAATCCAAGCTGAGTATAGAGTCCACACTCTGATCTCTATCTGTGTCCTAGGTGCAACACTGGTTCAGGTGCTGATGTTGGAGCTGATCAGAGAGCATGAGTCTCTATTCGCCAAAGTCCCCCCGTCCATCTCTGTCCGTCCACCTTGTGGTTCGCGTGCATCACCAAGTGCTCTGCGGCAGCCTCATCTCGACCCGTCACCCTGCCTCCGCCAGCTGTCTATGCCTCTCATTGCAGATCGCTCTAGAGAGCCAGGACAGGCCGCCGCAGATGCACAGAACAACAGAAGGTACAACACACCCGCTCTCACAGAAATTTGCAATACAAACATCTCACAGACTCATACCTCCCTTTCTTTGCCATCTATAGCTGTTTCTACTCTGCTGCTGCCACATCAAACTTGTCCTCTGGCCAGAAGAGACTTCTCGGCCATCGCTACACTTCCTCCCACCCCGAGAACTGCTTTTACCCCGTGCCCTCCTCCAGTCAGCACCAAGCCAACATAGATTATCACCAGCACCACGCTCACCAAGGACCATCAGCTACAAATATTCAAGCCTCTACAACCAGCCTCCAGCTTCAAGATCCACTACCTGACAGCTCCAAGTCCAGACCGATGCCCATGGGATGGGCAAAGGCCTGGCCAACCCCAGCAGAGGCAGGTGCTGGTTTCTGGAGCTCTGGTGGTGCAGAGGAAGAGGGAACAGTGCCAGAAACAGCCAGCGCAGGCAGCAGTGAGGCTCAGGAGGACAGCCCCCTTTCTGCCTATGATAACCTGGACAGAGTGTCTCAAAGTCAGAAAATAGAGGATGTCACTGGTGGACTTCTTGAAACCAATGATCTGGGAGGCCATACTGGAACTTGTGAAGTGGAGGTGGAGCTAGAGGAGGCAGGGCAAACAAGGAACTCCTCCTCTTCCTGGTCTTCCTGCGAGGTTCTACCATTGGACGAGAGCGGTGATGCTGTGGCCATGGTTAGTCCTGACATCTCACCAAAGCGACCTAAATGGTTGCCTTCAAGTCAGGTAGGAAAAGAGGAAAACAGTCATAAAGAGGAACAAGAGGGCCAAAACAATGACAGTGATGATGAGGATGAAGATGACAATGAGGATGATGATGATTACATCCACCCTAACTCCCCAGCCTCTGGTTCTATACTCAGCCCTCTGAGTACAGGCAGCTCAGAGGTATTCCTCCCCTCTGCTCCTCCAGACCTCCATGATCCTGAGACTCAGTCACATCCCGGGGATGCTCACCCACGTCTGGATGAGCTGCGGCAGCTGATGGCCCAGCAGAAGGCTGAGTACCAGGCCAGGATACAGAGGTGAGACACCAGCACAAGGAGGAAGATGGCATCCTCTCGTCCCCCAAACATTATTCACCCACATCCAGTACTTTAGAGTTGAGTATTAAAATCCTAGTGTTCTTTGGCATTGGGATATGCCTTGTTTAGTCAGTGGTATCTAAATGCTTTTGTAAACGCTGACATTTTAATAATTAGAATTCTTACTTCACTGCATTATTAAAAAAAAATGGTACCAAAGATACATTATGTGCACATATGTGATTACCCCTGTGACTGTTTCTCCTACTTTAGTCTAAGCCCCTTATTTCCAATTTTGGGAAATTGTAACCTACTGCATTCAATAATATTTTAGACCACAGTGTGTTCCAACCTCATAGCAACAGGTTGGGAATACCCTTTTCTTTTAAAGGAATGGTTTTCCAGTTTAGGTTCTTCTATACTATAGAAGAACCTAAACCAAAGTGAACGCTGTTATTTCTTTGGAATGGTTTTGGAAGGAGATTTTTAAACAGACAAAAATGTTTTGCTTAGTTACACCATGGAGACTGAATTTACATCTCGAATTGTGGATTGGAAAACTATCCAAAATAGGAAGTATTTGTAGATGCTTTTAGCTTCTGAAACCATTTACTGTACATGCAAGTCAGAATCAGTTACCATTAACAGTAGCCTGAATCAATACAAACCAACTTGTGTGATAAACTTAGGGAAGATCAATAAATACTTAAAGTAGCCTTTGTTTAAACTGATTTATCACAAATGCAACATATAGCTAGGGTTTGTTGTGTAAGCCTGTGTACAGTCTGCACGAAATTTGTGTGTGTACTGCAGGTTGGAGCGCTGTAATGACGTCCTCGAGCGGCAGGTTGCAGTACTGCGGGTCAGTCTTGAGCAGCAGAAGCGTAGCCAAAGTGTTGCTGAGATCAAGATTCGCAACATGGAACAAGCCAAAGCTGATGCTGACCTCCAAAACTCCACGCTGCAGAGAGAGATGGAGATGTTCTTCCAGATGTATGGAGAGTTCAGAAGAAGAGGAGGAGACGAAGGCGGAAGAGGAGGAGGGAGTCTCTGAAGATAAAAAGAGAAAGAGGAATTCTTTGAAGTGCATGGATAGGTCAGAGGAGAATAAAAAAGAAGGGAGGGTTTGTTTCACAGAGCTTGTTGAAAGGGATGGATGACTCTTGATAGGAGATCCAACATTAAGGAAGGCGGTGAAGGCATCACATCATGAAGAAAAACAGAGCGTTATTACAGTCCAGAAGACAACCTAAATACAAGACAGTTGTGTGTCATTTCAACCAGTTAGCCTCAAGCCAGGTTGGTTAAGTTCATGGTGACCAGAAGATGGCAAGAAAGTTTGAATTTGAGGAGCAGTTCCATTGGCAAGCTCCTTCACCTGTGCATTGAATATAACTTCCCCATCGTGGGCTGTTTGATTGGTTTATTGGAGCAACAGAGGGACACGCTTAAGTCTCTTCCTGCTTTACGCAAACCAGTTACCAAGCTGTGTCTTTCCAGGAAGCCTGGGACAAGGTATTATTCCACATAAAACCAAGTCTCCTTTGAGAAACCAAACGCCATTCTGAGCTGTTCCTGAACAGCAAAGATCTAGAAGAGTACTGGAAACCAAAAGCTTGTCCGAACTATTGGACTTTCAAGGTTTCAGAACTGCTGTACTGCTCACACTGACTATTATCATGTTGATATGGGGGTTCACAACCCACACAACGGATCTCAGATGATTGCAAGATTATTAGTTAGTTAGAGAGAACTGCGACTGGAGTGCATGATGCCGGGATTCCAGCTCAAAGTCAGTACACATAACGCAAGGGAACACTAGCACGGGTATTTGCCCTCTTCGAAGCCATGTGTTGTTTTAGAGTGTTTTCTACCTCCATTTTTCCCCAAAGCCGATTTCTTGACAATCTTATTGGGTACTGCCCAGACTGTCTCAGATTTGTCCCCAGGAACAAATGTAACCTGTTTTTGGCTACAATAAAATTAAAAATGCTCCATTTGCAACGTTGTAGCATCTCAGGACAAGATCAAGAGGCTCAAACTAGACAAATTGTTGGGATGGGAAATAACGTGGATTCTCTTCCGACTCCATGGGTTTCAGTCTCAGATCTCCAAAATGTATCTAGGACAAGAAAATCCTAGCCAAAGTTGTGTTGTCTGCATTCAACTTCAAAGAACTTCAATAGTCTCCGAGGACAATCCTTGATGTACAATCCTTTTAGTTTGAAGTTCATGTGGGAAATTCATACAAGATTTCTCAACCCTGAGGTGTCCTAAGGTCGGTTGTTCACAGCTCAGCTCTGACCAAAGTCAGTGGGAGTTCTGGCTGTGAACAAAATGCAGCATTGCATCTTATCTTTGCTGTGATAAATGGAGGGATTTATATGCATTATTAAAGCAATCTGGTTTACTTTAGGATAAAGACCTCAGAATCCCCTGGATGTTTTCCAACTGGCTACCACTGTTAACAATAAGATATGGACTTGCTACTATACTAAATTACTTGTTTTTTTTCAGGAACTAGACTGACTTGCTTTGCAGGAATTCATTTAGAATGAAACTGCATCTCTAACAGATTCTAGGTGAAGATAATTTTGTTGACTGAAAGTGTACAAATAAAGATACCAGAAGTTCTGTTCACTCCGCATGAAAATGCTTTCCCAATAAAACACTGTTACACTTTACCTGAAAAATAAACTTTAAATCCTCGTTCACAGAAAATTCAATCAAAGAATCTTTTCAGTGTATTTGTCAGTTTTGAACATTCATGTGTCTAGTGGGGATTGTTGACTGTAAAATCAGATTGTCTTCTGGAATACACAGGTTGAAAATAACAGCTGACTTATTTCAGTTTTGTTTGTCCACAATATTCTGTTAAATGTGACTGATGTGGAGGATAAGACCGGCAGAAAGCTCCTCTCCGACTGATGATGGAGGAACAGTGAGCTAAATGCCAAAAAGGACATTATATACCTTCCATTGAGGAAGCAGTTTTGTTTATTATTATTATTGAGATAAACCTGATTTTCTTTATTCTTAATTACGTGCTGTAGAAAAAATAAGATGAGACCTTTTGTTACTGAATGGTGAACTGATGTCTACACGCTGAAATAAATGACTACAGATCCACAGGGAATATTCACATGGCAGACAGTTTAATATAACTGTTCTGCTTGGTCAAACTCAGTGGAAGGAAACAGTGGAGATGCCAATCTGCTCTAAAAAAAAGAAGACACTTTTGACTTTTGTTTTTCTGATGGAAATGTAACATTTATTCTCAATTTTCAAACTGTTGAGGCAAAGAAAAAGAAAACAGTACAGAGACTATACAAATCAAAGAAAATGTCTCTGAACATCCACTGGGAAAAATGTGGAACAGAAACAGAAACTGTAATAGACTCACACTACCATACAGATGTGATACTTCAGTCAGGGAGAGATTTAAAGGGAACAGCGTCACTTTAAACACAGAGCACTTGTGAACACAAACTAGGTAACAACAAAATTGAACAGAGCAGAAACAGTCATATTCATTTAATATTTACAGCTGCTGACAGCAGAGTGTGTTTTCTGTCCAGCTTTAAGATCGTTTGTCAAGATGAAAAGAAAACTGACAACATTTGACTGACACCACAGCAGTTACAAGTGGCAAATTACTTGCATTTGAAATATTTACCCCATAAAACAGACAACCTCTTCCACTGCTGTGGTACAATACACAGATCACGAGCCAACTTAATAATGAAAGTGCAATAACAACAACGACCAGCCCTACATTTCATTTAACAGGTGAATCATAGTGCTTATTAAGCAGTTTGAAGCTTCTCACACAGACACAGACACACACACACACACACTCTTGCAGGGACCTTGTATGAATATGCATTTATTAGCAGTAAGCTAGCACTTCTAAAATAAACCCTGTATTTCAGTCATTTTATGTTATTGTAAGGCAAGGTGTTTCCCTTTTTCTGAGTGACACAAGGTTTCTGCAGGATGTGGCCAGTGTGCACACCAGTGGTCTCTTCAGTCAGTTAAGCACCAAAACTCATCAGAAACAGAAACAGGAATCCTTCATATGTGACCATGGGTAGAAAAAAACAGAGCTCACACACCGAACCTTTAAAAGAGGTTCAAAACCTCTTCTTCTTTTTGGTTCTTTTAACTTCTCTGTTTTGACTCCAGTAATGGAAACACTGGACCATGTCAATGTTTGAGTCTTGAGTCACATGTAGCTCTGATTTCTGCACACACACGCACACACCAGGTGGGCATTTTTTTTCTTCTGATCCTACAAGGAACAAAATTTGTTGCTACAGTAGCAGATAAAAAAAAAAAAAACATCTTAATCTCTACATTAAAACACACAAAAGTATAATGCAAAACAAATGGAACGTTTCAGTGAGCAGGAGTCTGCCAAATTTCCAAGATTTCCTGAGACAAAATTTGTACAATTTTCTATGGATCTTTTTTGTTCTGTTGGTTTTATTCGTATTAAACTACACTTAAGCCATTTGTTAGACGTATTAATCCCACCCTGCTTAGTGAAATGCCCCTTTAAGAAGACAATGAAAAAGAGACAGACAGGATGTAAAGACTATCAACTCTGAAGCAGAGGAGGTTTTTTATCACATTACTTTGCACCCTGGTGAGCAGATAATAGAGCTAGTCTCTGTGGTGGGAAGAGTGGGGATAAAGTGCATTTACAGGGATATCCTTTTCAATCAGGGTCACCTTCATCTTCACCTTCACCTTCAGCTGGGCAAAGTTGTCAGTCAGTGGTCCGCCAGGTTATCTGGACTCAGGTTGATACATGCTGAATTTGTTAACTTGAGCCCATGTTTATGTCAGCATGCTGCAACTGGATGTAACAGTTAAAAGGGTGAAGGATCACAGAGAGTTTGATTTTACAGCCAAGCAACACAGTAAATGCCACAAAGAAGTGCAGATGTGAAACTACTTTTTTTTTTTTTTTTTTTATCCAGAATTGTTTCAGTGGCGAAGATGGTGGACAGTACAATGGTTATCTGAATGTTGGTGCTGCTGTTAAAAAGGTCCCATAAAATGACTTTCAGATTTAGGTTTAATGTAGTTTTTACATGGAAAAAAAAAGACTGCAAAATGGACACTGATAATAGCTGCTTCCTTCCAAAACTGACTGTTACTGAAGAGGAAGACAAGAACGAGGGAAATGTCCTGACCGGCACAATGAAGAGCAGATACTTTGGAGCCTTCGTCAGCAGACAAATGTGCTACTAATATTGAGGATGTTGCAAATTGGCACATAAATTCAAGCCTATGCATTCGTAGCTAGCGGCAGTTAGCTTCAAGTATAATTCCACAACACAACCTGGGTCTTACTTTTGTGGTTTTGACCATCAGTAGTAAATTGAGTTCTGAGAACACGCTGGCACTGACGCAACAAAGCCCGGTGGGGCAAGAAGCAACAGTCAGAGGATCCTACAGGTTGTTAACAGCTTAGCCAGATTAGCTAATCCACTTTGTTTGCAGGAAACAGACCAGTTAGCACACCTGAAATGAAGCGTCACATCTCTTTTGACAGGAAAACCATACAACTACAGTAGTTACAGTAGGTCAAAGTTGACACAGGAAGTCTGTAAACTATGATGGCTGTGGACAACAGACACTTTTTCAATTCCTCCTTGTTTTCTTCTCTAACCTGGGACTTTGTTTACAATCCATCTCATATGACATCTTTCTAACAATATTGTCGCTATTCCAGATGTCAGTGATTGACTTGAGTAGTGTTATTATTAATGTACAAAACAACAAAAATCAGACCAAAGTTGTAATAAAAGTAAATATTTGAAGGGGTCAGTTTGCTCACCCCAGATTCACTGGATGGAAATGCCATCTCGGGGGCAAGACGTTAACATTTGAAAGCAGCTGAAGATTAAATGATTCTGTCTAAAAAAATGTATTAAATTGACTTTCAACACATCTTTAAAGTGGCAATAAGTTGTGTAACAATATGAGAGAGAAGTTTTCATTTTATGGGACCTTTAGCGTCTGAGTGACGTGCAGCTTTGATGTCATGTGACGTGTTAGAAGCCAGAGGGCGTCAGGATGTTCATGTCTCTGTGTTTGATCTTGTGTGGTCGAGCTCCCTGACGTCGACCCTCTACTGTGGGAATCTCCATTTTGGGAGGGGCCGCCGCCTGAGCAGCAGGGTTGTCACCCAGACGCGTGGTCTGTGACTTCATTACCTCCATGGGGGAGGGCTTCTGGGCACCACGGTACGCCTGCAGGGCAAAGCCTGCTAGGAAGACAGGAAAGAAAAGGATTTAAATAAAATGGACTTCAGATGTAAACTTTTATATTCAAACTTAAATGAAACCTAATTCCAACTCTTCAAAAACTGTTTAATAGTGTAAGGGAACATATTAAAATAAGTGATGCAGATGGTGCATTTGGGTTTAGCAGGAAAACAGGACTGTTGGTGGATGCTTGTGCTCTCGAATGTCGTCTAGCACACTGTATTATTGGATTGTTCAACACGCTGGTAAAGGATTAATGTTCTGACAGTTTAACATGAAGTTTGCACAGTGACCCAGATTTGACCACTAAGGAGACCCGGTTATTTCATCACCATAGAGGAGGAACACAGAGAATGGAAAAGTAAATACTAGTAGTAAAGAGAAGTTCATGCATGCTTTAAAAAAAACATAATTAAAATTAAACTCAATTGATTCAAATATTATACTTTTGTTTTTGTGTCCATTGGTAACGCACACACAACTATATTCTCTAATGTTTTTTTTAAACTTCCCTTTATGTGTTTTTATTCTCAGAGGTATTTCATTGATTCTTCCTTGCAGTGATTTGTTCTTTCTTTAACAATGTTTGCTTGTCTTATGTTGAAATATTTATTCAAATGCTTTTTTGTAACTCAGAAGCATTTTTTTAAGCCTGATTTTGAAAAGTGCTATTATAAGGTTTTACTCTTTTCAGTTAAAACTGTGACCTTTCTTAACAGTTGTATATATATTCATACAGTACTTTGATAAGATTGTATCCGGGAATGCCAATAAATGCCTTGATAAAGTCTGAAACCAGTGCTTTCCTCTTTAGTCTGAGGGCCGTAGTGCCTTATATACTATTATCTGTTCAAACAAAAAACGTTTTCCCATTACTCCCTAAATTAAAAATATGTGTTGTTTAGGTCTCTGTGTATTCTAGTTACAATAAGGAATCCCTGCTACTAATGAACATATTCTGTTAGTGCTGTTATTTTACTGCAGCACCTCCTATTGAAATTATCAACGTCTATCCAGTTATGCATGTTAATGTAGATTAAAAAAATACAACACAGGTTATTGCGAGTTTCCTGTCATAAGGTGAATGATATCAATCAATTATTTGAAACCTTTTTTGAGCTGAGAGATGAGATACAGAATGTATTCCTTCCATCCTCAAACTAAGCTCCACACAAACCTCTATTAGTTTTTTTTAAAGGACCTACCTAAAGTCATCCTGGAAAAAAGATTTTGATGGTTTCCAAACAGTCTGAATCGTCCCACATGTGAAAATCTTAATGTTCTTCAGTAGCTGTCAGTGACTGTGTCTGATCTTTTATATCACTGGGATGCAAAAAAAAAAACTGCGTAACTATTGGCAATAGTCAATATGTGAACAGACGCACGGCGCTGTTAGCTCAAACTTTTGGTCAGTGTTTACTATCAGTCTGAAGGTCATTTGTTTGCCCATTAACCCAAATCCTGTTTATATGGGGAAAAAAAACAATATCACCATTCACCAAGTGTCTTTACACCTGAAACACCAGGTGTTTACTGGGATTGATTTTAGGTTATTTTTAAATGTTTCCAATTTTAGTTTGGTTTCTTTGTTTGTTGGGTAAAAAAAGAAAAAGGTACCATTGGACTTTGGGCTGCCAACCCATAAACAAAAAGAGAGCCAGATTATTTGCATAATGTGAAGAGGGAGCACTTCTGAGGTTTTGTTCACGCACAACAAACCAACATTCAGGCACTTTATTACTCAAGAGAAGTCCACTTAGTGCCCCACAGTGAGGCAATGCTGTTTACCTGCATTTGTGTTGTGCTCTGATCCCAGGTCAGAGGTCGACTTCTGTACAAGCGGCCGCGGCCCAAACACGCTCCACCGCTCGACCACGCCTCCTCCGTCTCCCAGGTCTACACTGCTGTTGGTGGAGCTACCGCTGACCTCTGAGCTTGTACTGCCGAACCAGGCCCTACACAAACACAAGAGTTTATACTTGACCAGGTTATAGATTCGCCAGTGCTTCTTTAATATTAAACCGGATTTAGACCACAGGACGGTGGATAATCCTTGTGTATGTGTATGTGTGTACCTGCGTTGTTGTTTTGGAGAGCTGTGTGGTGTGTTGGATGGAGTGGACTGGGTGGAGGAGGTCTGCCGCTCTTCTCTGGTCTCCATGCTCTGGATTTGCAGTTTCTAAAAAGCAACAACAAAACAGGCTTCACTCTAAAGTAAAATTGTAGATGTAACAAAGCGGTAGATTTGACTTTCATGGACCAGAACTCTGGACTCACAAAAGAAGTATTAATTGGCTGCTAGTCGGCAATTAATTGGCAAATCCCTTTATAATTACTTCTTACAGGCACTCTTTGATAAAGCCCATAAAAAACTTCAGACTAGTGGGGAGTATAATGGGAACATCCTGGTTGTACATGTATACTGTGATCTGTGTGTTTACATGTGTATCTTACATGTAGGGATTCTGGAATCCGGTGGTGGTGTCTCGTCTCCTCAGCGGTGAGGCCTTTGTGGGGTGTGTAGCTGGTGTCAGTGAGACCCACCCTCTGCTCAAACTTGTACACACTATCCTGTGTCTGCTCTGAAATGGAGAGAAACCTTTTTTTAAATAATTGTTGAAAGCAGCAGTTTAACTTTTAAATAGCAAACATTCAAATCCCTGTAGCATTAGAAGGTGGCTTTAAGAAGCTCATAAGGTTGAGGGGGAACCTGAATCCTGGTGATTACAAATCGATTGATATGGATATTGACATGTATTATGTAATAAAAAAAGAAATCAAATATCCACAAAATCTGATCAAAGTCAATAAAACTGTTATGTAACATACTGGTGATGAGAGAATTCATGATGACGGAGGAGGCCTTGGCCTTCACTACACTTGGTGACCTGGAGGGGGCGCTGTCCGGCCCTGTAGACTGACTCACAGCACCAGTCTCATCCTCCTGGCGGATAAAAACACACCATCATCATATACACACTGCATCACACTCTTCCTCTTGATGAAGCAACAGATAAGTTAATAGTAAAGCAGCTGTGTGCGTGTGTTGCTGAGTCCCCCGTCTCACCTCAGCCAGGTGCGAGAACCTCCTTTCCGGTATGACGGGTCGTCTCCACAGGTTGTTGATGCTGATGTCGTGGGGGGGCGTGGACATGGGGGCCTCCAGGTTATCGTCGTAGCTGAGGGCTCGTCGGGTCATCCCAATGGGAAGCTTCATCCCGCCCATCCCCGGGCCCCTCTAGGGCTGCAGACACAAAAGGACAACAGCTTTATCTTTCTGTTGCTGAGAGTGTATCACAGTAACACTAACACAATAATAAATGATTGAATTTTCAGTTGAGGAGAAGGTTCAGCGTAATGACTTTTTAAAAAGGTTTTTTCCAGTAATTTATTAACTATTTGTGGAAATATGATCTCAAAGGGTAACAAACAACAGGTCCTGTAAGGTTGTCAATATTCAACATTTTCCTTATTGGCAAACAATCCAATGAAAATCGTGTATGCATGTTATTTTGTTTGGTGTAAACTTCATAGGCCAAACATGATCAAAATCAGGACACAGTAAGACTTAGCTGTGGGACTTTTAGAGCCAGTGGTTCAGAGATATTAATAGATACCTTTAAACGATGTGTGAGTCAGTGTGACTCACAGTGTGAATGTGTAATTGTTTGAGCTCCCAGTATACTCAAACTTGTCTGCTGCGAGAGACAAAACAATCTGTGCGATCCTGTTATGTGTGTGACGCGACATGTTAATCAGTATTTGACTCACGGTCAGCGTTTGAATTCATCCCAAAGTTGGGAAAACAGGAAGAGGCGTTCCCAAACTGTACACCGTTGTTGAAAATGTCATTGTATTTTGTAGCATTAAGCTCTCCTTTCATTGACAACAAAGTGACCCAGCCCTAACCATGAAACACAGATCCAGACTATAAGTTCATGACTTCAGCTGCAAGAAATACCGACCTGGTAAGTCCCCTGGGCCAGACATGATTTCAGTAAGACAATGAACAAGATCAACCAGGGCAAGACCTGGAAAAAGAGAAGAGAAGTTTCTGCATGATTACATCTACACAAAGGAGTTATTAACAGAAAACTACACTTTCAAACACTTTCATTCTGCAACCCGTTTCCATAAATATCTACTTTTACCAGATTACAGCAGCAGTGTAGAAGAGACACGCAGTCACACAGTTAAATAAGTCAGATGGTGAGCTACCTTTCAGCTGTGTTGTTGCTGTGATGTGGACTGGCTGGTGAATTGGCAGCAGCGATGGTTATGTCGGTCTGTCAGAGACACACAAAACCCTCTGGCAGTGCATTGTGGGTAGGCAGTCAGGCCAGGGAAGGAACTAAGGAGAGAGCAGAGGTCACCACAAAGGAAATAAGTGACTTTATTGCAATACCCTGATGAATGTTTGTACTGGACAATCAATCAAAGTAAACTGTGTGACAATTCATTCATTTAATTTGAAGGGAACCCTTGTTACACTGTAATCAATATACATCAAATTACCTTCGGTGAGAATGTTTCTAAAAAACTGTACAGTGAAACCGTATGTAGTTACATTTACCCTGCATATATTAGAAAAAAATATCTTACATCTGGAAAAATGTTTTCCGAATTCAGCCTTGCGTTTTAGTAATCTTAATAAAAATAAAAATAAACACACTGCATTAAAAATAGAAAATAATGGCATTATGTGCATAAACAATGGATGCATTTGTAATTTTGGACTGACTTTAGGTCATCTCCACACGCGAAAAAGCTTTAAAAAGCACACATTTGTGGTGGAGAAAATGTTACTGATAGCGTTAAAGAGAGGAAAAAGATAGAGTTGACATGTATGAAGGGATCTTAGGGGTCTTATCCTCTGTTATAACCAGCACAGCGGATGACTGCAGGATTATTCGAGAGCATGATGGCAGACAGGCTGGATTATATAACTCCTGCTGCAGCAGCAGGCGGCTGCTTCCCTGACAAAGACATTTACTTCACAACAAAATCTTACATTCTGTCTTATGGGGTTAATCAAGTAAACCTTGCAGTTTACCCAGCAGGCCTAACAGAGTAGACTTATTGGCAATTAAAATGATGAATATAATTAGAAGATTATGTCACGCAGCTTGTTTAGCAAATGCTTCAGGTCAAATTAAATGTTTAATATAATTCCACAATAATTCCATGCTGAAACAAGGAATAAAACACCACACACTAGATGATATATGTGAAATATACATACACTATGATCCCTAAACGGTGACAAATACGAATGGATATATGCAGAGATGAGGTTCAGTGCAGATGACATGTGGTTTTTAGCTGCTTAGCATTGGTTGACTAAACGAGCTCTCTCTATATAACCAGCATATTGTTTAGAAATGTCTAGTACAATCGCACCAGAGAATGAAACACAAGTAATTTAGAGCAGATAAATGAATGAAATGAGCAGATGAATAAGCAGATGCTGCCTGAATCACCCACCAGAGAGGCTACAGCCACGTAATCGCTAATCTCTATTCACATATTCAGCGTTTTAAGAGTGATCTCTGTGTTTGTGCTTCATCACAATACATTAAGCAACTATCTGAATCTCATAAGAACAGTTATTTACAAAAAAAAAAATCGTACAGGCTGTTCGGTAATGTGGGTTTCAGGGAGGGATTAAGGTTTACAATGTATATATTTTTTCTTTTACTAAAACACTGCTTGGTGAATTTTAACCCACCCCGAATTGAACACTGAATGCTACACATTCACAAAATGTCAGCAGACGACATTTAACATTCACATACGTCAACCGAGAAGCGTTGCGACGTTTAATTGTGTCTTTTTAGAATGGAGTTTGGTGGCGGCTTGTATGTTTTCGCCGCAAAAAAAAAAAAAAGAATTAAAAGAGATAGCGGAAACAAACGGAGCTGAAGGGCAACAAGATGCCAAGCAGCAGGCGACAAACGACGGTTGACAACGCTGCGTTGCTAGGGTAGTCAGGTTTATTATCTCTCACCGGAGGTAATGGCGGCTTCAGGACGACGACAAAAACACCGGTGACCCTCCAATGTCGACTGGAGCGTTCAGTGCGCAGCGGTGTTGTTGGGTAGCAGCCATTATTGTGTCCGATAAATAAAAGACGCTTCCTCGATTCAATGTTAAATTGCGTTACCAGTTCTCGCTGCGTATCGCGAGAGTACAGTTCAGACGCGCAGGATTTTTTTCCCCCTCCGCAGCAGATATGTTGAGTTATCACAGCCAGCAGAGCACATGTGTAATCAATAACATTGATAATGGCTCTGTGCATTTTAGTAAGCCGGCATGCACAAATATAAGCTAAACATTATGAGATATATAATACAAAAAAACAGTCAAAATATGGATATTATTTCAAATTACATTACTCAAGTACTGTAGCTACTTAAGTACAGTTTTAAAGGACTTGCACTTTACTATTTCAGCTTTTTGGCCAAGTATGTAGGCCTACACTCTCAGTACACAGAAATATAAAGCTAAAAAACAAGGACAAAGCTCGACAAATGTAGACATTTAACTACTATGTAGATATATAAATATTAAATAGTATAACAACAACACTCACATTTGTCAGCAAGAAGAAAATTGTGTAATGTTGAGTGCAAAGAGTACTGGAATAAATATGAAATCATTGGTTTCCTTTTATAGCCTATAGGTGGATATGACAGTGTTACGCATGTATACAATGTACAAGATTAATAATGCAAAACGTGAACAATAAATAAATGTTGATGATGTATTATTATAGGTTAAGATAAGGTAAAACTTTATTGATCCTGGGGGGTAAATTCACAAGCAACCTGGCAGTTTATTAAGTAATTAAAATGTAACAGAGTATTTCTTCAATGTGATATTGCTATTTCTAAGTAAAAGATGCAGAACTTCTTCCAGCACTCTCACTTAGTATATAGCATATGACCTCAGCATCTTTTATTAATATACTGTTGGACATAACTGAGTAAATGCCTATGCAACCAAAATCTTCGTCAGTAAGTAAATAAGTAAGTTAAGCTTTATTTATATAACACACAGTCACAAAGTGCTTACATTTTCTATTATATTTTATAATACTCTTATTTTGTGATTCTTTATTGTACTTTTACACTAATGTATTTTTTGTACTACATTCCCTTGTGCCTTTGTGTCTGATTTGAATTTCTCATACGGGGGATCAAAAACGGAACATCTTATCTTATATATCTTCACAAACAACCAAATATATAAACACACATATGCCTACATACATATAAATGTTTAAATTCATAATCATACATACATAGTCATATAAATACATAGGGAACACATAAATACAAACATATGGCAGATAAAACATGTTTTAGTGTTGAAAGAAAGACAAGTGTAACTGCTCTCTGTCTGTCTCTTTAGCGGCTGTTTGTCTCCCCCCTAGCGGCTGCCTCAGATTCAGCACCTTTCTCTACCTTTACGTCACCTACTGTATTTTCTACAGGTAGCAGTAAATCTTCACTTCTGTTTACCCCTGACAGCAAATCATGACAATGGAAATGTACATGCAAACCCTTTATTAAAAGCAGCAGAACATTTACATTTAGTTTAAAGTGTCTAATTCACCTGCGTGTGTTAGGAGAAAGAGCCACCTGGAATAAATACGCACACACACTCACACTCCAAGGGGGAAACCAAACTGCCACCGTTACATATTTGCACCTGTGTGCCCATGTTGTCAGAGCAACCAGGTGAAACTGTATTGGCAGCGTCTTCCTCGGAACCCTCCCACTATTTGCATACAGAGGAGCAGAGCGCCGCCCTCCGCACTTGGTTTCCATGTACTCCTCTAACCGGACTTTCCTCTCTAGTTTGTCCAGCTGAGGAGGAAGTTTAACTGGGTCGGCTTACCTCTCCGCTCCGCAACCGCTGAAACCCCCCCCCCCAACCCCCCATCAAAGGAAAACAACCCCGAGGAACACTGCGCGGTTTTACCCCGCAGACACTTATTCGCTTTGCGTAACTTCCAGCTTTCTTCTGTTGGATTTTCTTTTTCTCTCTCGGGTTTGTGGGGGGTCTGAGCTGATCCGCTCCGATTCAATCAAGATGTCTGTCCAGTCGAGCCAGAAAACGACGACGACCTACCGGACCATGAAAGTTGCCTCTCCTGAGCCGATGGCCAGCACGGTGATCTCGGGCGGGTCGGTGCTCTCGGGCGGGTCGATGATCTCGGGCCAGTCGGTGCTCTCGGGCCAGTCGGTGCTCTCGTCCGGGTCGGTGCTCTCGTCCGGGTCGGTGTCCTCGGCCGGGTCGGTGTCCCCGATGAACGGCTATGAGACGGTGCGCTACCTGGTCCCGATGCAGCAGCAGTCCTACATGCCGGTGCAGCAGCAGTCCTACATCCCCGTGCAGCAGGCCGTGCAACAGCAGTCCTACGTCTTCGTGCAGCAGCCTATGATGCAGCAGCAGATGGTGTCCCCGGTGTACCTGCAGAGTATGCCACACCTGAGCGTCAGCAGCCAGGAGTCCGACCTGCTGTACCAACAGCAGAGCACGCTGGAGGTGAGACCCATGTTCTTCTCCTCATGAAAAGGCTTGTTAAAACCACTATTATTCTTAGTACTATTATTATTATTATTATTATAAGGGAGACTGGAACAAAACTTTTTTTGGGGACCCCAAGCAGAATGTAAACACGATAACTTATATTTTTTGTTCAGTGTAAGATTTTAATAACCTAAAGTTGACACAGTTTTATGGTATTATTTCTTCAGATTTACTGAATTCACTGGAAAACACAATTAAAACTATGATGATATTGTGGTCTGTACCAAACAAACTTGTTTTCTTACATCTGGAGAACTTATAGGCCAGGTCATCCTTGCAGAACTACAGTACTTCATTGTAATGCTGTTCTGTTACACACTTTACCTTATCAAAAAATTGCATTGGATATCTCACTTGGCCATATTGCGATATCAGTAATATTTTGATTTAATTGTGCAGTCCTAGACCAGACTTGATGGTCTTTGCCCAGATTTCATGAGTGTCTCTTAAGTGTCTGTCTCAAACTGCATCTGGGCTGTTAAGCATCTCAGATCATTCAGTAGTTTGTCAGTCTCAATAAGTTTCAGTTGACAGAGCAAGAAAAGTGATCGACTGCATGTAAACAGAAACTGCCAGAAACAGACGCATTCCCAGTGTAAGCATGTTTCCCGCTCAGTGATGAGTTCTTAATTCTGACACACTGCTTTGAACTTTTACAGCCTGTAATTAGAAAGAGATGGATGAATGCGATGGACAGTTTTTGGCAGTGTGGAAGACTTTTCATGTGCCACCTGTGGTGAAGAGCAGACATTGTTATTACATAAAGGAGAACATGCAATATAGAATGACACACTGTGTTACAGGACATATTACATACAGTTTGTATCTTATCACTCCGATTGGTTGTTTTTCAATTACACTTGTATGTAATGTTTTGATATTGGTACTGAAACTAGGGTGCTGTATTGGTGTGGACATCAAACATTTATTTGTCAGTAATTGTGTTTTAAAGTGTCTTTTAAGGATTTGGCTACCACTTCTCTCCTTGACAGAATGAGCTCTAGTAAACGTCATCCTCTCACAGCATTTAATGAAACTCATGTCACTGCCAAGACACAATGTGGCATTGTTAAAGATAACTGTGCTGCAGGCCTCAGCGTTCGCCACCTGTTACCGTGCTCGCTCACAGCTCTGGTTTATCTGCCTCTTCCTCCTTATTGATTCATTTTTAAGCGCCCGTCTAGTCCTGCCAGCAGACTCCTTCCTGCTCTGCTAAATAATCACTTCCTGAATACATTGGCCTTCGCCCTTGGGATGGTTTAAACAAGGTCTCTGCTGTGTTCAAAAACATTTGAATAATATCTGTTCTCCCACATCGTCCTCCTCTGCCTCTAAAAATATTGTTTCCTCAGCTTCTGGTTTTATTTGTTCTCTTTCTAGTATCGATTGCAGCAGAGTACGTCAGGATTCCCTCTGGAACGTCCTTTTGGCTGCTTGTTGGCCTGATAGTGTACTAATTCAAGTTAATTCTGCGGTTTCAGTCATTGCACTCTGAGCTAAACTCTCATGGTGTGTTTGATAGGGAAGCGGTGCCACACCCAGTATGAGTCTGCTGACAGGGCACACCCTTACATTTGAAGACAAACATTCTTGAACCTGGTTGGATCACCTCTGCTGAATTCGATTGCACTAATCAGCGGTTAGACAGCAGGGTTCTTGCTTGTCTGAGAGACTCAAAATGACCTTGATTTATTAATTCAGTAACTTATATTTCACTGTTGAAAATGTGACATGCTTTGCAAGAATACTGCACTCTGATTGGCTGGAGGGTATCCATATATAGTACAGTATATACCAGTGACATCTGTTATTGCAGCCTGTAAATGTAAATCAAGAGAGAGTTGCTTTAATGTTGTTTTGCGCACTGTTTTGACTTCTATTAAACACCAGTTGGCTTAGTAGTGCTGAAAAGATTAACTGATTGACGGAAAATTAACAGTTTTGATAAAGCAATTTATCGTTAAAGTCATTTTTCAAACAGAGATGCCCGACATTTCCCTATTCCAGCTTCTCAACTTCTGGGATTTGCACACATTGTACATTGTATTGAGAGTTTGAGGAGAATTTCAGGAGAAGAACAGTAAACAGAGATCAGAGCGCTGGAGGCAGTGACAGTAACATTCTCTGAGGTCTTGTTGTACTTCCATGTGGTGCTCAAAGGTAGAATCAGAAACAACCAGAGCCGTTTTTAGGTCCAAGTTATAGGTCATCCAAGGCAAGTATGAGTCGGCGTTTGAGCCTAGCAGAGAAAGTCATGCAAGAAAAGTCCAAGTCAAGTCTCTAGTCTTTAAACCCCCATTGGAGTCAGGTGTCTATACGCACATTGCAGTTACATTTATCTCTTGTTATGAGAATTTACCAGGTCAAAACATCAAACACATTTTTGCTTTTTAAGTTTCAAGTTAAGTGACGTTTCAAGTCTGGATTTTAGGACTGAAGTCCGAGTCGAGTTCAGGTGTCAAGCCATGGCAACAAAACAGTTATGTCAGATTGTGAACACAATTCAGAGTTCAGTCTGCATTTTTCTCATTTCACAAATGTGTCAGTCAGTCAGTTGGAGTCCATGTTTGACATCATTGTGTCACAGTTGACACTCTTTAAAGGACTCTTTACGGTGCCTCCACCCAGCTGATACAGAAGTGAAACGCATGTTTTAAGAGCTATTTTTGGTTTAACATCGTCACTAACTTTGCTATAAATAACCACATTTCTCCCTCCATCCGCCATGATACTTATGCACTTTCTGAGTTGCCTTAAATTTCCCCTTGGGAGACAACTTAAGTATTTTAAATTGAATTGAAAGTGCATACAGTTCCAATCCATTCATTTTACTAGTAAATACTTAAAGGTTTGGCTGTTTCAAGGCTGAATCAAGATATACCTGACCTGGTTTAATATTTAATGTGAGTCAAAAGCAAACATTTTAATTGAAAACATGGTTTTATATTTTCTTGAACAGCTCAAGGATCAAGATGATGTCATGCATTGTATTTAGTGGTCCGATGACAGAGGTTTATTATTTTCTGTTCAAGTCTGACAATCTCTTCTTCCTCTCTCCCTCTTTCAGAGTAGCAGCAGGCAGTCTTCAGTGTTCAGCCAGTTGTCCAGTCCTATCAAGAGCCCTGAGCCAAGTGCTGAGGAGGAGGCAAGTGCGCACCACACAAGCGTTTCCTTCATTTAGTGTAAACCTACTGGAGCAAAGTTAGTTCAGTTTAGTTTTGACTCTTCTCATTCACTCATTAACTTTGCGTTATTTTTGTGATAAAACACAGATGAAAACATAGAATGAACAGATAAAACAAATAAAGTTGATGAGCCTAAAAAAAAGCAAACATTTGACTGACTTCAATTGACTCATAGACATGGTCAATGCCCTTGGCAAGCACAACAAACTTACTGGCAAATGAGCCTGTAACTTGTGGCAACAAGTTGCAGGTCATTCCACTCTTTAAAAAAAATAAAAAATAATCACTCAGATTGAATGAACTGTAAGTGAACTGTGAGAGAAGTTTTGCATCTGCAGTCTAGTCCTGCAGGTATCGACCCATGTCTACTCTAAAGTAAAGATGGCTTTGAATCTGACCAGACAACTTTTGATAGTGACCGCTTTTGATGCTTGGTACTCCAATACCTGGCCCTGGTTACACACTCAGTGGCTGTATAATCCATTAAATACAACAGCTTTGCCATAAATTCTACCTTTGCAAGGTTTATTATCAGTTTTTGGAAATGTGTTAATGTGATTGGTTAACAGGATTATACTAAGATGTGTTTTGTCATCCCTATAGATACACAAGGGGGTCAAAATATTCAGAAACGCCCCAGAATATGATGCAGTCTGCTATCTGTCTATGACCTTAGTGCTAAAACATATATTTAAATTACCACCTGACACACATGAAGAACAAATTATCATAAAAGTAGACTTTATGACAGAACATGTGGAACCCAACGTTTAGATCTCTTTTGACCTGTAAATCAACAAACACGCACTCGTCTGAGTTCTCCGTTTTGGTAAAATCAAAGCCTGCATTGTGGTTTGCGCCCTTGTGCCAACTCTCCAAGTGAGTCACGGTTTGAGGTACAAACTTCTGGCAGAAGATTTGTCTTCTAAATGGGAAAGAAAAAAATGCAGAGGGGGGTGTGGAGTCCATTTGTAGGTTCTGTGCAGACACACCCATCACCATTAAACCTCGACATGGGAACATGCCGGTGTGTGACAGAACAGTAGCATAACAAACGTCTTTTATAAAAATTAAACCTTCTCGGTTCACCCTGGGATATTAACCCACACGCATGCTCCCTCTGCATGCAGCTACACCCTGCCTCCACATTCACAGTTACAACAAGCACGTTGTTCATAATCACAGGACCTTCAACTGTCGCAACACTGATAAACCATTTAGGGTGGGTGTTAAATTGGGGTGTGTCCGACAACTTCCCAGAGGCCTCTGCTGTGGGTGGGTACATTCCTTTGATTTGAACCTGCAGCGTCATGTATATGGCTGTTGTCAAAACAGGGAGGTTCTCTGATTTAAAGCGGCGTCTTGGCATAACTTGTCCTCACTGAAACTGCATTTACAATCATAGTAACTGTTTTATTAATTGGTTTGAGTGACAGTCTTATCTATCTATCCATCTATCTATGAAGCAGTTGTCGTTCGTGAGAAAAACCTTGAAACACCTTCCACTTTTCCTGCCAAATTAGTTAGTTAAAAAATAATTCATTCATTCATTCATTTAGTCTCTTTGATCACTTTGGTTTAATCAAGTCTATTAAATATTAAAATAAATAGTGAAAAATGTCCATCACAATCATCCAGATCCCAAGGTGACGTCGTCATAATGATTTTTTGCCAAACCAACCAGATCCCAAAAATATTTAGCAGTTACAAAACAGAGAAAAGAAGCAATGTGTCACATTTGAGATTCTGGAACCAGCTAATGTTTGTCATTGTTTTCTTTATTAATGACTTGAATGGTCAGTTCATTCTGTGCTGATTCACAAAGTAATTACTCAGCTAACAATTTTAAGAGTCTGTCCTTTTGTCGTTTATAACACCTCTTTTGAATAGCTGAGCTTTTTGAGTCTTGACTGGTTGCATCGTTCAAGTCTGGTCAGGTTTGTTCAGCTCATTTCTGTATTGTCCTAAAACAGGAAAATGTTTTTGCAGCAAGGCTAAAACTGAAAAAAACATGACAGTGTAAAACAAACTGTCACTGAAAAAAGACTGGAAAAAAATGAGAAGATTGTCATTGACAGACACAGAATATCACCATCTATAGAATCATATAGAATCATAACCATCAGAATACCAAACAATATAAGTACCAATACAACAACCATGCAAGGCCAAATTAAAAACACAATAAAACAATAAGATAAAAACAAGATAAGACATAGACAGACACGGTACAAAAATCCATAATAAAACTGCAACAGGTGCATTTATGTAATGGAAATTTCAACCTGTTGCACCTAATTTTTGGAAAAGTTATTATCTCTGACTAGACTCGCTTGCTTTCGTATATCTGGTTGTTGGCTGAAAGTTGTGTGAGCCACTTCATCAATGTAAGTAAAGCCTTATCTAGTCATAAAGCTGCGGTTATACAGTATTTATTAAGAACTTTGAGAAGTGAAGTTTTCTGCATCTGCTGATGCTTAAAACCTTAGAGTGTGTGCTGCAGTTACCTCTGCCTCTAATGAGTTTTCTCTCCAGCTCACTCAGTGTCTTCAGAGGATAATTTTGGCTGCCAGGCTTCAGTCAGTAATCTGTTAGTCTGCTTTTCTCAACAAGATGATTTTATTATCTTAAGGGGCCAAGCTAGGTGAAACTTGTTGTCAGGGATAAACAATGACCACACCCATCTGTGTTTTTCTGGAAGAAGGGTGTTTCTCAGCCTTAATACATTTTTGGGGTTTTTTATGTTTCAATTAATTTTTTAAGACATCAGAAGGTATTTTGAGTGTCAGTGTGTCTGTAGTACAGTAGGACACATTTGATATCCTTGGAAACATTGGCTTTGTGAATAGCATTTTTAAGTTTCTCATCTCACATAATCTGTTTGTAATAAAAACAAACCCACTGGTGAAACCGGAGGAGCTGAAGTGCTTAAGGTGTGTGTGTGTGTGTGTGTGTGTGTGTGTGTGTGTGTGTGTGTGTGTGTGTGTGTGTGTGTGCGTGCCTGTGTCTGTGCGTGCCTGTGTGTGTGTGTGTGTGTGTGTGTGTGTGCGTGTGTGTGTGTGCGTGGGATGCAAATGGGTAAAAAAAAATTCATGGCTGCAGTGTGCAGTGAAGGCTGCTGTTTGCTGACTGACAGACAATCGCCCAGCTAGAGGGGGAAAAAAACCTTTGATTGTTGCTCTGCAGATTGAGGACAACACACATACACACACACACACACACACACACAAAACCACAAACACACACAAGCTAAATGATACTCTGATTGAACTTAGACTCACATACAGATGCAACTGACTTACAGTTTATCTTTATTCAACTGATACTTTATTCAAGGTTATAGTCACAGTGCTCTACAAGGTCGTCAGGGTACGAGGAAATAAAAGTGAGAGTGAGAATATGAGTGCTTTTGAATTGAACATACTGTGTACATTAAGAGCAAGAGAAAGAATTCATCTTACGTAACACACCCTGTGGCAACCACATGTAGGTTCAGGGAGCTGCCTGATAACTGTATGAAGGGGTGAGGCAGTATACAAAGAACCATAACTGTAAATTGTTGTTTTACTTTTATCAAATGCAAACCACATAAATGGTATCTGTCTTAACTGTAAGCTGCACAATGAGGGGTCACAGGACTCATTTTTATGATCTTTGAAAAAACTGAGATACACGTTGAAATAAAGATTTTATTGTTAAAGTACAGTTGAACAAGTTTAGTCTGTTGGTATCACAACGATGTGTCAGCACTGTCAAGTTTGTTGTAGTTGGAATCAAGTCCCGTTTCATGGTCTTTAGACAACAGTGTCAAAATCCAACATAACACGATTGATTGATTAACAATGAGGTGCAGTGATCACTGTCTGAGTGGAAGGTGTGGTAAACTAACAAAATCAAAAACCGGCTTTGAGTAACCGATTCTTCTCAAGCTACAACTCTGTACTAGTTCCGTAGTTCGGAGTTGTACCAAAAGCCTAAAGAGATAAAGACCATGCATTTTCTTGAGTCAGACCTAGAACTAAATAACAAAGACTGGATTGACCATTGCATTATGTTCCCAGCTAATCCTCTACAAAAAAAAAACTCCTGCATGAACGTGGCAGACCAAAGAGGAAAAAGTTGGAGGACAAGTTTTTAAAAATGTCGACTAGGGCAAAAACCTTAACACCCACAGCAAAAGAACCATAATCTCACACACGTGAGGGGCTGTCTCTCTGAATAGTTTTATTAAGGTGACACGTCGTCATACATAGTCAGTCTGCCTGTAAATCTAAAGCTAAGGTTTACAGGTCTGTACAGGCCACCTGAGCCACAGCTGTATATGTGAGGATATGAATCACCTGACAGAGATGCATATGATTATTCATTGGAGTGCAGTAAAATATGGATTTCACATCGTAAAAGATGAATATCCTGCAAAAGTAGTGAGGGTCAGCTCTCGGTTTGTCACTTTTATCATAGGCTTTAACAAACAACACAACTGTTTCTTCAGTCTGTTTTCTCGATTTTGCATTTACACAATACAGCCACAAACCTTTTGTTTAAATTTGTCTGTGGGCTGTTTTTCTTGGTTTGGGATCAGCCCAAAGTTAATGCTCCAGGCATACAGTTATATTTTAAAAAACAGGGTGTTCTCAACTTTGAGGCAACAGTTTAGAGAAGTTTCAACATGACAGTGCCCTATGTGTGTGTGTGTGTGTGTGTGTGTGTGTGTGTTTTTATATATATATATATATATATATATATATATATATATATATATATATATATATATATATATATATGTTATGTATGAATATATACATATATATATATATGTGTATATGTATGTATGTGTGTATATATATATTTGTATATATATATATATGTGTATATATATATGTATATGTATATTATATATATGTATGTATATATATGTATATATATGTATGTATATATATATATATATATATGTATATAT